TTTTTTTTTTTTTTTTCTCCTGACACTTGTAAATTTTGGAGGGGGGACTAAATCTAGACCTCCCCCCTGATGGCCACACAGTATAAGTTTGTATTTAAAAAAAAAAAAAAAAAAAAAAAACCAAAGGACCAATACAGCCCATTTTGTAAGGATTTTGAATGTTTTGTAAAGTATTGGTCCATGTGTTGTATTTTGTAGCCTTTCTAGTTCTTGGGCTTTAGTTCTCCCACTTCTTGTATGTATGCATACTGTAGTTACACATTAAAGTCATGACATGCAGCACGTGCCACTGTACTTATTCTCTTCAGTTCCACCCTGCTTGGCTAGCTGATGTCTTTCAAAGTCTGTTTCGCCCCTCCCAAAATTTGCAGTCTTCCAGTGTGTTTTAGCGGCTCCCTATCAGGAGGAATAACAGAGCTTGTTTTGTGGCATGAGGCCAGAGAGAAGAGATAGAACCTTTGTTTCAAATGCACAAGGAGAGGACTCAGTCTAGCTTCTTGGGGAGGGAAACATTTTAGTTGCAGGTTCATAAGCAGAGTTTGTCTCTGAATGTTGTGTTGGAGAGGAAATGTTAATTCTTCCAGGACAGTACTTAGTGGAGGGATAAAGAGAATAGATAAGACTTCCAGCTTCATTTCTAATGACTTTTGCTCCCTGCTATACTTTCTTCAGTGTGAATCTTTGCAAGTTTGCTAGTTAGCTGTAACAAGGCTTAGGTGGCTTTAGCATTGCTAATACTCTGAATTGCTTTAGGCTATGCCTTACAACTTATCAGATACTAGGAAAAAGAGCTTCATTGCTTTCTTTTTAGATAACATTTCTAGTTTGTTAAATCTAGTTGACTGCTATGGTATGGGTAGAGAGATCAGGGTTCCCTGCTTAGCTCTAAGGGACTGTGTCTCTGCTGCACAGAGCTTAAACTAGATCTAGGGCACCACTGAGCCAAATGTGCCAGTAGCCTGTGGCTCAAGGGGAATTTTCCACCTGTTTCTGGGCAGTGTTTTGTCAGTCCCCTCTGTCTAAAGGGGACAGAATCTCTTGCCAGTTTCTACAATCGCCTGGGCCTCCTGTTTGGTAGGTGAGCAGCTGTGCTGAAATTGAGCCTTTAAAGTAAGGATTTTTTGGTTTTGGTGCTGCAACTCCAACTTGCTCTTCCACCTTTGTTGGATTAGGATACAAGGACCTATCAGTAGTCTTTCCTCTAGTCCAGATTCTGTGGGTGTGGTTTTTTTCTTTTTTTTGCCATTTATATCTAACCAACCATAGGCAGAGCTTATTGACTATAAAGTAGTGTCCTGTCTTAATGACTGGTACTGAATATGCTAAGGCTCAAAGGTCTCTTTGGTTCTGTACTAACACCACTGTATATGCCTTAAGAACTGTTAGGGTGGGTGTAGAGGAGGGTAGAAGGTAGGACGTGGCCAAGATCCCATTAACTTCATACAGCGTAGGTTTGGTTGGTAGGACAGAGTCTCCTGCACTCTGTATCCTCTCTTAGCCAGTACGTAACCTGCACCTGAGCCTGTTACTGTCAAGGTAAATAGTGTTTGTGTCAGCTCCCCAAGGATTACCAAAGAGTCCCTGCCACAGCCGAGGCCTTGAGTATAACGCACCTCATATTTAAGGAGAGAAGGTTAACCTTTCAATCCACTGTATGCCTAGTTTGAAATCTAGCCTTTTGGAGGAAGAGAAAAGCCAAGATGGCAGACTGAACTCTAAACAGCCACTGCATGCTCCACTGTGAGACTGAAGAAGGAAGGAAAAAATAAAAAATAACCCAGGTAATGTTTAAAAACTCTCTGGCCTCCAGCAGTGCAATTAGGGCTGTAAGTGACCCCTTTTATACAGATGAATGCAGTCTTGGTTTTGCTCGTTTGCAATACTTCTAGCTCTGCAGCAGCATCAGGAAAGATCTCTTTTTAGATAGGACTTTCCACCCTGTTGAAGTAGACAGCATTGGCTGGGTAAGAACTATTGCTTTTATTAAAGGTAGCTTGGCCTGCAAACCTTCAGTGTTTCCTCATACAGGAACTGCTGAGGGGGAAAATATTAGCATAGCTAGACATGATGCAGAGCAAAGCCTGATTTCAGGGAAGAACTGTTATCTACTGGAGGGTGTATATCTAATGCTTAACCTACAGCAGTTGCAGAACTGTGACAGTGCCACTGTATAGCATATATAAACACTATGGGCCTGAGCTGTTTCTGTGCAGGCCCAAGATATATTCCATATGCTTTTCACAGAGGTAAAAGGAAACCTCTTGCTCTACTGATCCCACATGGAAACCAGACAGATGGATGTGCTGGTATATTCCTATACTGCTCACTACTAATGAAGTACAGGGGAGGAGTTTAGTTTGACATACCTATCTGCCAAATGTTTACTCTGTAAAGTAAGAGTTACCAGATGTACTTCTGCCCTAGTTCATCTGCACAAGGAACAGCTCTTGCCTTAAATCACTGATGCTAAATGAGGGAACAGGCTCATCATTGTGACAATTTATCTCCATCTTCTGCAAGCAAATAGTAGCAGATCTGGGCATTAATAAGTTCTCTAGAGGAAGATTCTCCTCCTGGTGCTGGCTGTGCTCCAGAGCTCTCACTGTATGAAAACCCTGCCCCACCCCCCAAACTATTTCTTCTGCCATAACTGTTTAAGGTTTTTCTTTATACAGAGGTAGACAAAAAGCCAGATGCCCTGGGAGGGACAAGTGGGCCCAAGTTCAATCTTGCTTTCTGTTCTTGCTGTAGTAGAAGAGATGGCCAGAGGCCCTTTCTGAGCTCAGTTCCAGGGAGATTTCAAGGGGTAGATTTCAAGGGGTGGTCAGGTTTCTACTGTATCAGCTCTAGTAGCTGATGCAAGATCCTTTTCTGTCCATAGCGCACATGCAAAGCGAGCTGCTCCCTTCGACTCAGTCTCTTATAAGCCTCCTCATTATTTAGCAAGTCCTGCTCTGCTTTCAAGTCTGACCTGTAGGACTCTAGAGTCAGCAGCACGCTGTCGTAAAGGAGCTTCTTGCAAGGGTTTTTAAGTCTGGAGAGAGCTTCATTAGAAAGGATAGAGTTCTCTTCTTCCTCAGTGTCGTCTTCCCAGCCATCTTGTTCCTTATACTGCTGGAATTCTTCTTCTGACATGCACAGCACCTGTAATTACCCAAGCAAGGAGACAAGTCACTGGCTGTGTGAGTACATCAGGTTTTCCTCCCTAGAAGAGTACAGTCTAAGGGCTGCGTGCAACAAGTGAATTATTCGTCAGCTGCAGTAAAGGTCAGATGTTTAAAAGACTTGAATGCCTAATCACAAATAACTTGTGGGTCAAGAGAATGTTGAAATGGTAAACCTGGGTGCTGGGAACAGTCTCAAAGGACATCTTAACTGCTACCTATAAGGGTGCAAAAACTCTAGAACAGCAGTAGCCATGAAGCCATTCAAGACCAGTACATAAGTGTGTGGCTGGCACACACACACAGGAAAGGAAGACAGTAATGCAGTACCTGAAGTCTTGGGGGGCTGGGCAGCCACATCCCCTATCACTTCTTATGCAGGAGTGTTGGTACCAAACTGCCTTTATATGCTTGTCTTCCTTCAGTTAACCATTTTGTGGTGTAGCTGTTCAAACCAGTGCGCAGTTAGTCCAGGTTCTTTCCATCATGTAGCTTTCACTGACTGGTAATCACTCAGCACTGCTCACCTTCAGGGTCATGGACAGCTCTTCTTCTGTCAGCACCTCATCCCAGCCAAGCACAAAGGCACCTTCTTCCCCCACCATTTCCAGCTGGCATAGGAAGTTCCACTGCTCTGAGACCAGCTGCTGCTCTGCTTCACTTTTGGCACCTGTTTTGAAGAGAGGAGCACATCTGCAAACCCCACCCAGCTTCCACTGGGAGGACAAATGAAGAAGGGGAGGCAGGAGACAGTAAATCTAGGCATAACCCCCAGCACCTCAAATGCTATGCAAGGATCTCATTTCCCTCTCACACTTGAGCCCTATTTAACAGGAGGGAGACCCCTGACCCATCCTTTCCCAGCGTGGCTGCAAGTGACACTCACGCTGCAGTGCTGCCTTGCGCACTGTCACCATCTGGATGTCAGCTGTATCATTGGTGTTGCCAGGGTATGGCTCTGCAAAGCCATACATGTGTAGGAGCTGCCAGTTGGCCATCTGCCCATAGGTGTTGAAGATCTCCTGCCCTTTGCTGATGGGTTGTGTTGTGACCATCTGTAAACATTTCTGCAAGCAGAGAGAGAAGCAGCTCTAAAGAAGTTATTGCAATCCTACCAGTCTCAGGAAAATGATGTTTCTTGAGGTTATGGTGGTAGTATTTCCCCACCAGAGGCTGCCAGCAAACTGATTCAGGCACATGCCATCCCTCATATACGCTCCTAGCAGGTGGTACTGTCTTCATGAAAGTAAGAAAAACAAATCTCAAGTCCAGTGCTGCAGCAAAAACATCTTCAAAGAGGCTCAAATGACCCAAAAAGCTCTTTCTAGCTAAACCAAGCAGTAGGGCAGTATGTACAATAGCCTCATACTAATGACACCCAGGCCAGGCTAGCTTGCTGTTTTCACATGGGAGTCATGCTCTCCTGGCTTCAAACGGGGAGATAGCCTTGCTACAGCACCAGTCCCAAAGGCCAGCCCTGCCTTGCAATGAACAGGCACCTGACTGTGCTGTGCGCACTGGCTTTGCACTCACCGGAGCATATTCCAGGTTGGCATTGTGGTTGGCCACATGATTCAAGATATCTGCTACTGGCACCATCATTGGAGGGTTGGGCCCCTTCTCGTCTTCATCATCTTCCTCCAGAGGCTCCTGAAAGCTAATACAAGGGAGGTGAAGACAGGCCAGTTTTACGCCTTGCAGTATCGAGCAAGCTTCAGCTTTTCCCTGAAAGGTTGCAGTACACACCAGAACGTAAGTAACACAGGCTCTGATCATTTCCTGCTCTGTAATCCTACCACTTGTCCTTTGTCAGCTTTGTATGAGATCCTGAGCCCTTCCCTTTGCTCCCCCCATTCACAGTAAAGCCCTCCCTTCTCACCTGTAGGCCATGACAAACGCTACTAGTTCCTTGTACAACTCCAGTGTGTGGAGCTTGGGGTCAAAGATGTCAGGATGGGACTCAATGAAGGGCAGGATGATGGAGCTGTACTCCAGCTGGATGTTAACTAGGTCCTTGTCCACTGCTTCTGGGATGCCTGTGCCCTGCAGAAGCCTTGTTCTCTCCTCTTCAGGCCTGTTGCAAGAAAAAAAAAATAATAGCAGGTTTCTCTCCAGTTGCCACAGAGGGAAGAGTCTATAAATTCCTCCCTTCCTCCCTCCCTCCCTCCAAAATCTGAGCCTTGCGGGGGTGGTCTACTGATTCCTGTTTTCTGATTGCTTTCTGGAGCCAGCTGCAACCCTGTGTAGTACCTGGGAGGGGCCCTCAGGCTGCTGACACTAACAGCACAGGGCTGGAGTAGAGGAGATGGCAGAGTCATCCAGTAAAACCACATCCAACCCCCAAAACGAGCAGGGCTGAGCTAAGTTTCCCTTCCCTCTTGACAAAGCCTGGATTCAGCTGCCCACTTCACCTACTCCACAGAGCCACTTGGTTTCACTTTACCAGAACATGGGGTGATCCAAGCTCCTGAAGTCTTGCCAGAGTGAGAAATAAGGCTGCCAGTGGGAGTTGCTGTTTGTATATTCATGTAGCAGGGCCAGCAGGAGAGGCACCCAGCCAGACTGGCTCTGCAATGACTCTCGGGCTAAGGAATCAAAGAGGATAGAACAGGGTTGAATGTACACTGACTGATCTGATTTTTGTTCCTTTTCCCTGAGAACGTGGTTTTCCAAGTATCAAAGCTCACCATAGCAGCTCAGCACAAGGAATATCAACCTAGACTCAGTATCTTAAGCTTGGTGAGGAGTTGTGCTTTTAGTCCCTTAGATCTCTTAAGTCTCAGCTTTGGCCAGAGTTGAAATGGAACCGGAAGCTGCAGTGCTCTGTAGTTAAGGTCCAGCCTGTGTTGCTCTTCCCCCTGCACCACGCTGCAGCCTCATCTGGGGCTGTAGGTGCTTGGAGCAAGAAAAATAACAAAAACCACATACTTCCTCAAGGCAGATGATTCTGTTCTGGGCCTGAGACACCTTGAGGAAAGTATGGTCTCATTGGAGTAATCAGCTCTTCTATCAGTGCTCTTTGCCAGCACGGCTCCGGCCTGCCTTGGAAAGGGATGGGGCACTCAGCTCTCTCCCTACTGTCCTTGGGGAAGGGGAAGATACTCAGGCTCTCCCAGGCCACCCCTATCCCTCCTGTTCACTAGCAGCCCCGCAACCTCCTGCTCCCTCCACCTCCCGCAGTCAAGGCACTAGCTCTTCAGGGCCCTGCTTCCTGCTTACAAGGTCCTCCACTATCCTGCACAAAGCAGGAGCATTCCCTAGACTTTATTCCCAGACCAGTTTTATTCCCTTGAAAGGAAAAGTGAGCAAATGCAACTACACTGCTGAGAAAGACAGCAGGCACACTGGTAAGAGGAGGATAAAGTAGCTAGACAAGCTCTCACTGCATCCTACCCACGGTGGGGGGCTGAAGCCAGATTCCTCAGGCCTGCCCTTGTGCTCACCTTCCTGCAAGAGGGTCTGGATGGAGCTGGTGTACTGGGACAGCAGTGCAGCACGAGGGATGGTGAAGAGGACCTCTCCCACCTGCAGATCCTCAGTGGCCAACATGCCATAGTCTGCCACCGTGCCCTCCCTGCTCACGCAGACCTTGGGTGAGAGGTAACCTGTCAGGAGCGCAGGGGAGGGAAGCATGGGGCAGGCAAGGCTATGGCTGGATTCTGCACAGCTTGGCAGGGATGGCATGCAGCACAAACCCAGGCTGGGTTTGCATCAGCCTCTCCCCCCCCCCCCCCCATCTCATCTCTGGTGCTACTCCAGCACGTGCAGAATGTATCAATGCTCGCAGCCTCCCTGCTTGTCCCATCCCTCTTCTGACCCAGTCCATGGGCAGGTAAGGCTGGGTGGCTCCTGCTCTCCCAGCCCCACGGCCAAAAGGGTGCCCAGCTGAGCCCTGCGCCACCCCGCTCACCTTCGGGCTGAGCTCCAAGCCAACCTTCTTGCACCATGCCAGGAAGCCAGAGATGGGATCAACACTGCCATTCTTAGCGGTGCTGCTCTCAGCAGCCACCTGCAGACAGAAATATGAGGTCAAGCACAGGGAGACTCCGCAGTAAGGAAGAAAGATGGGACAGGAGGGACCCGTGGTGCCTCCGCACGGCCCCTTTGGAGTTCTAGGACCAATCAGTAAGTTCAACCTGCAGCCTTGGGTTCCCTGGCTGTCACTGAGGTACCACTTCAGCCTCCCCCGTCCCAAAGCGCGTTGAAAACGGGGAGAGGGGGCCGGGCGGCGCAGGGCCCCTGTCGGCTCTACCCGCGCCGCCCCAGGCGCGGCAGTGCCCCTCCCCC